AACATCTTCCCCCTTTCTAGTTAATAATAGACAAAATCTAGGAGACATGCAGTTAGAACTATTTAGAAGAATGGTACTATAAAGAAAAGGCACAATGATGGTTAAAACAAATCTTCTTATTCATAAAAATTTTGATTTTTGAAAATATTGTTTCAATTACACAGTGAAAAATGTATTAAAACCTAATCATTTCTGCCAAACTGTTGACAATAAGCATGAGAAGTGTTACATATAGAAAAGGGGCTGGATGATACTTAGAAAAAAAAATGGGCCTAATGAAACTAAAGTAACATTTTATAATTGTGGCCCTCAGGCATCAGCCAGCTCCAGATTAATTAATACTTCATATATAGTGAAAAGAGAAAATGATTGACAAACTTTCCTCTAGAGGATTAGGAGCAAATTAAAAAAAAATTATAACCCACATGCTTTAAAATGCTAATGAATCAGGTTATTAAAGAAAATAACACACCACTTTGCATGTAAAATGAATAAAATTGAAGTCATACATATTTTTATGACCTATCTTTACACATTATAATACTGCTGCATTGTATATAAAAATTAAGAGCAAATACTGAGTTTTTATGTTAGGTTTTATTCTATGGCATTAAATGTTTAGTGATGTAATCTTCACAAACATTTTATTATATTTGACTGTTATTTTTGTTTTGCAGCAGAGAAATTTGAGGCGTAGATTAAATAACTTGCTCCGAATCACATAGGGAGGGAGTGATATAAGCCATAGTCACGGCAGCTCCATGGCCTTTGTTAAAAGGGCTGTTCTGTGTGTGTTTTAAAGAATGATCTTTCCTGCAAGTAGATGAATTGCGAAAGTATGAACGTCATGAACTGAATTGCATCTCTCCAAATGGAGTCTCGAAGTGTGATGGTATTTGGAGATGGTGTTTTTGGGAAATCATTAGGTTTAGAGGAGGTCATGAGGGTGGGTTTTCATAAAGAGATTAGTGTCGGTATAAGGAGACACACCAAAGTATGCATTCTCTCCCAACCTCTTACACCTTACCCCCACCACGTGAATGTGACCAACCTTCTACAAGCCAGTGAGAGAGGCCTCACTAGAAAGCAACCATGCTTGATCTCAGGCTTCCAGTCTCCAGAATTGCAAGAAATAAATTTCTGTTGTTTAAGCCACCCAGTCTACCGTATTCTACTGAGACAAGCCTAGGTGACTAATACAATGGATAAATTAAACAAGGTGTCGCCTATGCCAGATGTATTCTAAAAGGTTCTCTTTCTGAAAAGAACAATTATAACAAGGTTTCCTTTTTTTTTGTAGGATGATACAGTTTTTTTGGTCCCGTTCAATGACTTGACCAAAGCGACCTATGAACGAGCAGAGGTTCTAGTTCTAACACTGGTAACCCCGACTGAAGCAAAATAGGTAAATCTAGTGTTACTAGGAAGAATTATTAGCATGATTTTATCTACCTTAATTTCATAATTAATAAATCACTTATCTTCCAGGTCTTACTACCTAAATTTGTTCAAGTCTAATATTTTATTATCTTCTCCTATGTTCACTGCTGTATTTCAGGCAATCATCATCACTTGAACCATTCCCTGCATAAATGTCATAAATGGATCATTATAATTTATAGGGTAAAATTCAAGTTTGATAGTAAGATGTGGAAAATCCTTCTCAGTTTCCCCCTGCACACATTTTCAGAATCATGCAAAAGAGACAATGAACTCTGCTTGTTAAACTCTCTGATTTTTGCATATTATGTCTTTTCTGTCTTGAAGCTCATGCGTGTTCATGATCATGATACACATCTGCTTGTACTACCCTCTGTATAATTCCACGCCATTACAGAAAAGTTCAGTTCCTTCTCTGATGCTACCGTAGCCCCTGTTACAGACCTTACTACATCGTAAGATCTTTGTTTATATGCAATTCTCTTTCACTATCTGACTGTGACCCACTTGGAGGCCAGAGCTATCTCTTGGGCAGATTTGCATTATCAGCAACCAGATCAAAAGCTGTTTCTTAGTGTGCTCCAATAAATGCTTATTGATTTAATTAACTTCTTGAATCACATAATCATTGTTTGCTGTATCTACACCAGACTCTATTTTTTATGTAAATAACATACCTATTCTGAAAATAATAATTTCTAAGTTATTACAAATTAGCATGAAAAACATTGAATGATAGGACAAATGTAAGGTAAGGAATGACAAATCAAGAAGTCAGAGTGACATCACAGGCCCCGACAGTAAGTACTCTTTTGATTATTATCATCAACTTCAGAATATAATTGAGACTTCCATTCCATAACTTGCCCCATACCATATAGATTGAACATGGTGGGGGCAAGTATGAATCTAGAGCTCAAACTCCTTTTAAACTAAAATAAAGCAAATGAGGAGACAGAGTAAAGAACTTACAAAGGCATGTCTAGTGGACTCATAGTATATGGGGAAGGAAGTAAAGACGAAGAAAAAAAGAAAATCTAGTTTAGTGTGCTTGTTCTGTAACAGGCACTTCAAATACAATGACTCATTTACTCCTCATGCCAGCAACATAAGGTAGAAAGTTTTATTTTATGGATGAGACAAATAGTGAAGAAACAGGCTGAAGGTCACCCAACCCAACTAGTAAGTGATGGAGGAAAGGAGCACAGAAATGTGAAATCCACAGTGTGTGCCAACGAATACACGCACCCAACTCAAACACACACATTGTGCTAAATGCAAATCCTGAAGAAAGGGCATTTCATAATTTATATTTCCAATTAAAGCTGAACTCCTATGACCGTATATTAACAAACAATGTATTTTTTGAAGACTTCCCATTCCTTAGGTCATCTTCATCTGCAGTAATTGCTGGGCATTTCTCCACATCTCATTTCCCCCCTCTGCCCTCTCCTTTTCATCACCAAGGGTAAGTGGGTTTCATTCTAAACCTAAAGAACAATATTTAGATTTTAATGGTAAAATCAATTTTGTATGTGTAGAATTTACAACTTTTTAATGAAATAAAATCCCTGGTGGCTCACGCCTGTAATCCCAGCACTTTGGGAGGCTGAGGTGTGTGGATCACAAGGTCAGGAGTTGGAGAACAGCCTGGCCAACATAGTGAAACCCTTTCTCTACTAAAAAACATACAAAAAACTAGCTGGGCATGGTGCGTGTAATCACAGCTACTCAGGACGCTGAGGCAGGAGAATCACTTGAACCTGGGAGGCCAAGGTTGCAGTGATCTGAGATAGTACCATTGCACTTCAGCTCAGGTGATAAAGCAAGACTCCATCTCAAAACAAAACAAAATAAAACAAAAAAAAATCCCAAATCTAAAAGTCTTGAGGCAAAACATCCACAAGAATCAATTAATCTATGTAAGCATACTCACTACATACCAGAGTTCTTACGTTCTTATATATGAAAAAATATATGTACTATATATAAACACCACACAAATATAGCTTAAACATTGTCTAAATAAATGCATCACAGCAGTTTCTTTTGGATTCAATCTCACAAGTCTCTGAGCTATAGAACAGGTCTGTACAATGCAATGTGCTTCACAGTATCTTCCTTAGATCGAATGTATCAGTATCAACTGGGAGTTTGTTAGAAATGCAAATTTGGACATTGTCCTAGTACTCCTAACTTAAAACCGGTGATGGAGAAAAGGAATCTGAGTTTCGGCAAGCCCTTCTCATAATTCTTATCCACTTGGAAATTGAAAAAGAACCACTATTGTGTGATATAATCTGAGAATTTAATGATGGCATAAGACCACAAAATACTATATATATCACTTTTAGAGGTAGGTCTAAACAACTTTATGTATACATCTAAGGACCATGACAGAAGAAGGGGATTGGACAGCTAGGCACTTAATCACCGACTGCCCACCTCTGACAGATATGGAATCTCCTTTGGTTAAAAGAGTACCTTCTGCTGTCTTAAACTCTTCAAGGTCATTAACCTCAATGCATTGATAAAATTACCAAATTATGTTTTCATTTTAAAAGATATTTGCTTTCCAAATATCGACAGAAATTACTCTCCCGTAGTATTTTGGTGAGCATTTTAACCAAAAACTATGGCCTTTCCAACTTCAGACAATTTTTATTCTGTCATAACTGAAGGTTGCCTGCAAAAACACAGGTCTTTATTTTAAGAACCAGGCTAAACAAATAAGAGTTAATCTACATGACAGCATTTTCTAGTTCAGATTATTAAATGGAATGTATTATTTATGTAACACCCAATTAGACATTCTTTATTTTTTTTACCAATTAACTAGTCATTTAAAAAAATTTTTTTAAAGAAGGAGAAAAGGAAAAAGGGGAAAAAAGGGAAAGTCAGTGAAGTAGAGAAGATAATCCTTTGAGTTGAAAGAAACCCAACAAAGTACAAAATAATCCCAATTGTCATTACAGACAAAAATATTTTATGTAAATTATGTGGTTGGATAAGATTGATGTTGTACAAAATCTGGGGGAGTAATGAGTGTGTGAGATTTCAGGCACTGTCATGTTGAATGGGATGAGGAGAAAGAAATTATATTCTGCTCTAATTGTATCAAAGTGTATTAGTTTATACTGAAATAATAATTTCAATGCCTTGAAAGAGTAATATTTTGATCTGTCCATGATATTTTATCTATTAGTTATGACTGAAAAAAAAGATTTGGGTTGTCAAAAGTTAAACAGGGTTTGAAGTAGAATTTCATTAGAAATATAAAGGATTAGAAACCAGAGCAGTTCCTGTGAATAATTTTGAGACATCAGTCTACTTAGTAGATGGAAGAGAACTGGGTGATAACTTCTACTTGTTTTGTGATTTGAGGTTATGCATTTGTTTATGTATTTTTATCCCTATATATTTATCAATACAATCATGAGCTGATGAATACCACATCCAGAAACAGCTCTAGGTAACTTTATTAATAAAATTGATATCAATTGAAAGTATATCATTAATAATCGGAACATATGATTTACCAACAACATAAATATAGTTACCTTTACAAATGCAACGATTTTCAAGGAGATTGTTGCTAAATATAAGGAGTTCATTACAAAGTCCATTAGATTCCACCAATCATGGATGTAATCCTGAAGTCCGCCATCCCACATCTGTTTAATTTCTCCCCATATGAAACCTGTAATTATAGAAAGATCCATTATTAGTATGATTTCAAAAGAACCACTAAAAAAGCAGTATACGATTTAACAACTATAGATCTTGAAGATGCAAGAGACCACATTGTTACTCTAGAGGCAATATCTATTTTATAGGTAATAATACTGAGTCCCAGCTGTTTTTTAAGAGTTTCAGATACTAAGCTAATTCTAGAAGATGTTGTTAGGGCAGCCTCATTTCCTTTCATCTATTTGATATATTCATAAGGATACATAGTTTTGAATTATACTGTAACTCCTTTTAAACTATATATATATCAGAAAATAACATTTTCTTAAAAGCAAATATCCTGACATTTATTTTTCTCCTAAGTCAAAATGACTCAAAGATCACAAAAAACAGTGTATTTAGCAATCAAAACTGGTTTCAGACAATGAGTGGAGTATCTTGTTGTGTTTCTTTAAGCAATTAGCGCCTTCAGAGACCTGACTTAAGTCTTGAGAAATAATGGACTTTAGTCTTAAGAATAGCATTTGCAATAATTCATTAAAAGACTTTATATTAACAATAGTTTTAAAGCTATATCCAGAAAAAAAATATATATTTAAATTTTTAATAGGAAACTATTTATTTTTAAATTCTATGAAGAACTTACAAAATATCAGTATAGGTTATTATTTTCATGATCCTATTAAAATTTTATAATCCCGTATTTACAGCCTAATGATGAGATATAAAAATATCTAAATTCAATAAATATTAAAAGGGTGACTACGATGTCATAACTATGTTAACACAAGCAAATAATGAGACTTCTTTAAGATAATAGTCTGAGACATAAAACGTAGAGTTGAAGATCGGCTGAGGATGTAGAAAGTTGGAAAAGTATTATCTCTACATTGACTATAAACATTATAACTTTCCAAGCATGCACCAGGGAGATGACAAATCAAGGAATCTAAACTTTAAATATAAGCTTGTTCCTCTAAAGGAACCATGCTGTGAACCTTGGCTCACCTGCGGCAGAGTGAGGAAGAGACACTGGCATCATCCGAGAAACTAGGCTGACTGTGAGGTAGCAGGAGAGGCTAGAATCCCTGGGAGCCACCGTTAAAAGGAAAAGTTTTACCCTCTGGCATGCTCTTCTTCATGGACCCTATCCACAGCTCAAGAGAAATATTATAATTCAAGCCTGGGGGAGAAAAGAGGATGCTTCTGTGGGAGAAGCACAGAGTCCTATCCAGGCTCCTCTCCCCAAAGGAGCAAAACTTTAGCCTTGTGGAAGAGATAGAAAGCACTCCTGGGCCTCACGTTTACAGCAATACCATTAGAGCAGGAGCAGAAAATCTCTCCAGTACATAAGCTGCAATGTTTGACTGCCGTGAAAAGGAAAGCACAGATCATGGGGAAAGCTTCATCCCTAGCACTCAGACATAGGCCTGCCTAAGTCTGACCTTGGATGAGGACATCAGAGAATTTTCCTGCCCTCGATCACTAGGCCAACAAACACCAGGTAACAATCAGAAGCTGACAACCCCTGGAGGAAGTGCCTCTGAGGCACAGGTGTACAGGGAAGGTCAAAAGCTGTGGGTGGAGGAGGAACACTGAGAATAATCTTCTTTTCCATCCTAGGCTGAGGTATATGACGCACTGAAACTGAGTGTAGCACAAAACCCACACCCAGCTCAGCTCCTGACTGTATTGCCTCCAACCTCTACACTAACATAGAAGAGAAGAGGCATGTACATTTTCAGGCATAAAGGCTGTGTACTTCTGTTGCTCGTCTTCTGCATAGGTGGAATGAATACCTTTGCAAAACACACGCACACATTCGTACCGACACTCACCAAACCATGATGCATCATATTCAAACCATCAAAAACAAAAGATAAACTATTGAAAGCAGCCAAGAAAAAGAAAGAGACATGGAAGAAACGTAAGACTGACAGCAAACTTCTGCTATAAAAATATACGAGACAGTGAAGTAACATCTTTAAAGTGCTGAAAGAGAAAAAATGAAAGTTAACCGAGAATTCTATATAGGGCACAAATGGCTCTAGTAAATACTTACAAAAGGATTTTTCTTCAAACAATCAAAATCTGAGACAACTTACTGCTGTCAGACCCACACTATAAGATATACTAAATATTTTTAAGGCAGAACGTGTATAATATTGGATAGAAAGTTGCATTTATTTTAAAAAAGGAAGATTTATCTCCAGAAATGTGTGTATGTGTGTATATATAATAAAAAATATATGTTTATTTTTATTAAAAAATTTTCTACCATATATTTACTGCCTAAGTAAAAACAGTAGCAATGTATTGTAGTTTTTAACATATGTAAAAGGAAAATGTATAATGATATTAGCACAGAAGATGAGGGAGGGGAATTACAAGCCTGCCATCATTAGGTTCTTATACTATGCACAAAGCAGAATAATATTTTTTAAAGTTAGAATGTAATAAATTACTATTAATATTTTATTATATTCTAACTTCAAAAAATATTCTTTTAAATATTTTTAAATATATGAATAGAGAGCTATACATGTAAACAGTAAATGTTATACAAATACTTAATTCAATAGCAGGCAAAAAGAGAAAAATGCAATGAAGAATAGATGGAATAAATAGGAAAGAACAATAGCAATGGGGGTAGATTTCCAGTTTACCCATATCATAATTATACTGAATGGAATGTATGATCTAAACACACTAATGATAATACAGAAATGATCATACAGGAAAAAAGCACTAAAACAATAATTAAAAGAAAGCTCCTGTGACAACATGAATCTAAAAGTAGATGTGTTTCAGATGAAGCAATGTTACTAGGTACACAGAGGAATATTACATAAAGATACAAAGGCCAATTTGCTAAGAAGTTAAAAAATTCTTTATCTGCTTACAGTTAACAAAATAACCCTATACTACAAGATGCCATAACTATTAAAACTGAAATAAAAAGCAAAGAAAAGTACAACTCGAATTGGAGTTTTCAGCATTCCTCTCTCTGTAACCAACAGAACCAGTAGACAGAAATTTAGTAATGATCTAGAAGACCTGAACAACACCATCAACAATATGACAACAGCAGAATACACATTTCTTTCATGTGCACAGGGAACATTCACCAAGATAGACCATGGTATGGGCTGGAAAACAAACCTCAACACATTTATATTAGTTAAAATTACTAAGTTTGTTCTCTGACCACAACACAAATAAACAACTAATCAGTAATTAAATGTATTTATAAAATCCCCAAATATTTTTCAATTAAACAATATAGTTCCATTATCTTCCAGCTGAAATAGGAATTTAAGAGACTAGTTTAAAAATATTTTTAAATGATAGAAAATGAAGATACAACCAAAATCTCTTTGTGAGGCTTCTAAAGCAGTGCTTAGAGGAAATGTATAGCTTCAGATGCTTTATTAAAAAAGAATAAGAGGTTCAAATCAGTGATTTCACCTTCAATTAAGACACTATAAAAAGAAGAGCAAGTTTAAACCAAAACAAGCAGAAAGAAGAAAATAACAAAGATAACAAAAAAACAATAAAATCTGAAACATAAAATGAAAGAAAAATCAATGAAAACAAAATGTAATTTTTTGAAGTGTTTAATAAAATTGATAAAACGCTAGCCAGAATGATTAACAAACAAAGGATGACATAAATGATCAATATCAGAAATTCAAGAAGAAACATCAATACAGATCTTACAGATATTGTAAGAATAACTAGCAACTAGAATGAATAACTGGATGGTCATACATTTCACAACTTAAATAAGCTTTTTTTCCCTGGGACATAAACTTCCACGCTCACTCAAGAGGACATAAAGCCACCTGAATAGTCCTATATTTATTAAAGAAAATGAATTTATAGTTAATATCCTGCCAATAACAACAAAAGAAATTCAGGTCTAGTTAATTTCATGGTATGTTCAACCAAACATTTGAAGAAAAAGTAACACCAGTGCTAATCAAACTCTTACAAAGATACAACAGTAAGAAACATTTAAGAAGCAAGTATTACCCTGATAAATAATCAGACAAAACTCTTTAAAACTACACACAAATAGCCCTTATGAATATGCACAAAAATCCGCAATAAATAGTAGTGAATAAAAGTTAGCAATATATAAAAAAAAATAAATCATGTCCAAGCAATGTTTTTTCTAGGGAATGAAAAGTTGTTTCAATATTTAAAGTCGATCAGTGTCATTTATCCCATCAACAGATTTCTGAAAAAATGTGATCATTTCAAGATGCAGTATAAGCATTTGATAAAATTTAACATCCATTGATAAAAACTTTCAGTAAAGTATGAATAAAAGGGAGATTTCTCAATTTGATAAAGGGCATTCATAAAAATTTTTAACTACTTGTTCTGTAAAGGAACAGAGAACAAATAATGTAGGCTTTGTAATTAATAAATGGGCGTGATTGTGTTCCAGTGAAACTATTTTTAAAAACTGGCAAACAATCTGATATCAGGACCACAGTTTGCCTTCTGTGGCGGTGATTACATGACTGTATGTGTCTGTTAACATTTTATATCTCTGCACTCAGCTCCAAAGAGTTACTGTTATAACTTAATTTGAATGTAGCACAATTTGTGAAATTGATAGTGAGAAATGAATATAGGAATACTTAGAAATAATTGAAATTGTTATTTTAATACACTGATTACAGGTGATATATGAGTAATTATATATTTATTTTGCATTTTCTGTATGTGAAAATTTTTGAAATAAAAGTATAGTAGATATGATATTCTATCATTAATTAGTGAAAATTAATGACTTTAAAATTATCAATGAAATTTTGTTTTTACATTTTGTTATATTCAAATTTATAACCCATATGAGAGCTGATTTCATATGAATTAACTATAGTGTATTTTTTTATGTTAGCTGTAGAGAATTGTTTTATTCTAAATTTGGTATTTATATCCTAGTTTCCCCTTTTAGTCTTCTTTCATAATTAAATCTCTATTGAGAGGTGAGAT